TCTCCAGAGAGCTCATTAGCCATAATGACAAGGACAGGGTTTGTTAGCGCTAACCAGTCGGATGCTACATTGGCAGCAGCTAGCTAGCCCCCAGTACACCTGAAGTAATAAAGGTCCCCAGGTTTTGGCACTGTACTGATGAAGCAGGTAGGGGATGTGTCATAGAGGATTGCTTTGAGGACTCTTTCTTTTCTACTATCTCTCTCTCTCTCTCGCTCTCGCTCTTTCCCTCGCTCTCTCTCTCTCTCTCGCTCTCTCTCTCTCTCTCTCAAGACACTCACTCTTTCAGTCTTCAGTCAAGTATGCTTTGGAATCTGGCTCCAGGGTCTGGCCTACATACAGGCTGTTCAGAGCTGAATCTAAACTAGCTGGGAGGGTTGCAAATGACTGCTTCAAACCACTGCCTCGTTAACGCACACGCTTGGTCTGATGGCAGGAAGTCACTGTGGAGAACTCAATGAAAGTCATTGAAACTTTACTTGAGGTGAACGTTTGATTGGGACTGATGTGCCCTGAATCTATGAACTGACAAAACTCGTTTCATCAGAGGGTGAAACGCTTCCCTAGAAATGAAAAAATGATTAATTATTCGTAATATTATACTTTTTATCTGGCTGCAGATATTAATTAGGTGGTTTTAGATTGAAGCGTTGGAAAGCATTGATCTATGATACAGTTTCAGGCAACTAGAGCAGCTTAATTTAACTTACTGTATCCAGACTGTACCACACACTGTATTGTGGTGGTAATGAATACAACTAGAAAAGGTTTACCAGTGGACTATTTGTGATTATCCTATTATTTAGACTCCAAGCCGATCCATAGTCATTACTGTTCTGCCAACCAGTGGTGGAAAAAGTACCCAATTATCATACTTAAGTAAAAGTATACAGTGGGGAGAACAAGTATTTGATACACTGCCGATTTTGCAGGTTTTCCTACTTACAAAGCATGTAGAGGTCTGTAATTTTTATCATAGGTACACTTCAACTGTGAGAGACGGAATCTAAAACAAAAATCCAGAAAATCACATTGTATGATTTTTAAGTAATGAATTTACATTTTATTGCATGACATAAGTATTTGATCACCTACCAACCAGTAAGAATTCCGGCTCTCACAGACCTGTTAGTTTTTCTTTAAGAAGTCCTCCTGTTCTCCACTCATTACCTGTATTAACTGCACCTGTTGAACTTGTTACCTGTATAAAAGACACCTGTCCACACACACTCAATCAAACAGACTCCAACCTCTCCACAATGGCCAAGACCAGAGAGCTGTGTAAGGACATCAGGGATAAAATTGTAGACCTGCACAAGGCTGGGATGGGCTACAGGACAATAGGCAAGCAGCTTGGTGAGAAGGCAACAACTGTTGGCGCAATTATTAGAAAATGGAAGAAGTTCAAGATGACGGTCAATCACCCTCGGTCTGGGGCTCCATGCAAGATCTCACCTCGTGGGGCATCAATGATCATGAGGAAGGTGAGGGATCAGCCCAGAACTACACGGCAGCACCTGGTCAATGACCTGAAGAGAGCTGGGACCACAGTCTCAAAGAAAACCATTAGTAACACACTACGCCGTCATGGATTAAAATCCTGCAGCGCACGCAAGGTCCCCCTGCTCAAGCCAGCGCATGTCCAGGCCCGTCTGAAGTTTGCCAATGACCATCTGGATGATCCAGAGGAGGAATGGGAGAAGGTCATGTGGTCTGATGAGACAAAAATATAGCTTTTTGGTCTAAACTCCACTCGCCGTGTTTGGAGGAAGAAGAAGGATGAGTACAACCCCAAGAACACCATCCCAACTGCAAAGGGGACAGGACGACTGCACCGTATTGAGGGGAGGATGGATGGGGTCATGTATCGCGAGATCTTGGCCAACAACCTCCTTCCCTCAGTAAGAGCATTGAAGATGGGTCGTGGCTGGGTCTTCCAGCATGACAACGACCCGAAACACACAGCCAGGGCATCTAAGGAGTGGCTCCGTAAGAAGCATCTCAAGGTCCTGGAGTGGCCTAGCCAGTCTCCAGACCTGAACCCAATAGAAACTCTTTGGAGGGAGCTGAAAGTCCGTATTGCCCAGCGACAGCCCCGAAACCTGAAGGATCTGGAGAAGGTCTGTATGGAGGAGTGGGCCAAAATCCCTGCTGCAGTGTGTGCAAACCTGGTCAAGACCTACAGGAAACGTATGATCTCTGTAATTGCAAACAAAGGTTTCTGTACCAAATATTAAGTTCTGCTTTTCTGATGTGTCAAATCAGTAAAAGTCTTGCAATAAAATGCAAATTAATTACTTAAAAATCATACAATGTGATTTTCTGTATTTTTGTTTTAGATTCCGTCTCTCACAGTTGAAGTGTACCTATGATAAAAAATTACAGACCTCTACATGCTTTGTAAGTAGGAAAACCTGCAAAATCGGCAGTGTATTAAATACTTGTTCTCCCCACTGTATGTACCTTAATAGAAAGTTACTAAAAGTAAAAGTGAAAGTCAGTCAGTAAAATAGTACTTGAGTAAAAGTCTAAAAGTATTTTGTTTTAAATATACTTGAGTATCAAAAGTAAAAGTATAAATCATTTAAAATTCCTATTATTTAGCAAAGCAGACGGCACAATTGTCTTGTTTTTAACATTTTCGGATAGCAAGGGGCACACTCCAACACTCAGACAATATTTACAAAAGATGCATTTGTGTTTAGTGAATCCGCCAGACCAGAGGCAGTAGGGCAGTAGGCAGACATGTTCTCTTGATAAGTGCGTGAATTTTACTATTTTCCTGTCCTGCTAAGCATTCAAAATGTACTTTTGGTTGTCAGGGAAAATGTATGGAGTAAAAAGTACAATATTTTCTTTAGGAATGTAGTGAAGTAAAAGTAAAAGTTGTCAAAAATATAAATAGTAAAGTAAAGTACAGATACCCCCAAAAACTACTTAAGTAGTACTTTAAATTATTTTTACTTAAGTACTTAACACCAATGCTGCTTACTAATGACGTAGAGGAACATGTCATGGATTGGCTATTGATTGGAGGCAGAATGAGCTGAAATGAATCTGTTCCTGCAGATGGTTTGCAATATGCCTGGACATTTGATCTAAATAACTCCCAGGCCCAGGCTCTGTCTGCAGTATCATTGATCCATCTCCTCCGTTTCTCAGTTCTCGCTCTCTATGGTCAAGTTAAAGGGTAAAATATAGTTCTATGGTGAACATGTCTGAGTATGTAAAATAGTTGAATACAGTGGGGGAAAAAAGTATTTAGTCAGCCACCAATTGTGCAAGTTCTCCCACTTAAAAAGATGAGAGAGGCCTGTAATTTTCATCATAGGTACACGTCAACTATGACAGACAAATGGAGGAAAAAAAATCCGGAAAATCACATTGTAGGATTTTTAATGAATTTATTTGCAAATTATGGTGGAAAATAAGTATTTGGTCACCTATAAACAAGCAAGATTTCTTGCTCTCACAGACCTGTAACTTCTTCTTTAAGAGGCTCCTCTGTCCTCCACTCGTTACCTGTATTAATGGCACCTGTTTGAACTTGTTATCAGTATAAAAGACACCTGTCCACAAACTCAAACAGTCACACTCCATACTCCACTATGGCCAAGACCAAAGAGCTGTCAAAGGACACCAGAAACAAAATTGTAGACCTGCACCAGGCTGGGAAGACTGAATCTGCAATAGGTAAGCAGCTTGGTTTGAAGAAATCAACTGTGGGAGCAATTATTAGGAAATGGAAGACGTACAAGACCACTGATAATCTCCCTTGATCTGGGGCTCCACGCAAGATCTCACCCCATGGGGTCAAAATGATCACAAGAACGGTGAGGAAAAATCCCAGAACCACACGGGGGGACCTAGTGAATGACCTGCAGAGAGCTGGGACCAAAGTAACAAAGCCTACCATCAGTAACACAGTACGCCGCCAGGGACTCAAATCCTGTGTCCCCCTGCTGAAGCCAGTACATGTCCAGGCCCGTCTGAAGTTTGCTAGAGTGCATTTGGATGATCCAGAAGAGGATTGGGAGAATGTCATATGGTCAGATGAAACCAAAATATAACTTTTTGGTAAAAACTCAACTTGTCGTGTTTGGAGGACAAAGAATGCTGAGTTGCATCCAAAGAACACCATACCTACTATGAAGCATGGGGGTGGAAACATCATGCTTTGGGGCTGTTTTTCTGCAAAGGGACCAGGACGACTGATCCGTGTAAAGGAAAGAATGAATGGGGCCATGTATCGTGAGATTTTGAGTGAAAACCTCCTTCCATCAGCAAGGGCATTGCAGATGAAACGTGGCTGGGTCTTTCAGCATGACAATGATCCCAAACACACCGCCCGGGCAACGAAGGAGTGGCTTCGTAAGATGCATTCAAGGTCCTGGAGTGGCCTAGCCAGTCTCCAGATCTCAACCCCATAGAAAATCTTTGGAGGGAGTTGAAAGTCCGTGTTGCCCAGTGACAGCCCCAAAACATCACTGCTCTAGAGGAGATCTGCATGGAGGAATGGGCCAAAATACCAGCAACAGTGTGTGAAAACCTTGTGAAGACTTACAGAAAACGTTTGACCTGTGTCATTGCCAACAAAGGGTATATAACAAAGTATTGAGAAACTTTTGTTATTGACCAAATACTTATTTTCCACCATAATTTGCAAATAAATTCATAAAAAATCCTACAATGTGATTTTCTGGATTTTTTTTCCTCATTTTGTCTGTCATAGTTGACGTGTACCTATGGTGAAAATTACAGGCCTCTCTCATCTTTTTAAGTGGGAGAACTTGCACAATTGGTGGCTGACTAAATACTTTTTTTCCCCACTGTATGTTTAATACTGCTGAAACTAGCTGGATTCAAACAGTAAAATGTAACCGCATGCAATAAACAGTAAAACCTCTTGAGTTTCTTATCAGTTTTTATTCACACTGCTGTTTACAATCCTCTAAAATCTCAAACCTTTTCTTTTCTCCTCTCTCTATCACCTCTTCAGTTTCAGCACAGCGTACCAGTGTATTTATTACTCCCCGGAGCACACAGCCAAGGCCCAGGAGGTGCTGCACAGTGTGGGCCAGCTCCAGCCTCTCATCTCTGGCCTGGCAGACCAGCTGCTTCAGGCTGCCCAGCAGCACTCCATGGCTGGGCTGAGGGAGGCACTCAAGACCCTGGCTGGAAAGGTGAGTAGGCCTCAACCACCAGAACCCCACCATTTAGCTCCAAGCCTGGGGTGGGGGTGCTGCTTAGTGCCCCTGGCTGGAACTCTAGCCACACACAGGTCGCCAACCACCACCACAATCTACCCTCTCTGTCCATGTTCCTTTCCCCCACGATGGAGCTCCAAGGTACGGGTAGAAGTGCTAAGCTTAACTTCTGGATCTGTAGCCCCACCACCACCCCCTCTGTCCCTGTTCCTGGAGCTCCAGGCTGGGTTAGAGGTGCTGGAGGTCCTGGGCTGAATGCCACCATCTGGATGTGTGTAGCCCCACAGGGGAGCCAATTTTAGAGCTCTTCTCTCCTGCTGTGCTAGTGTGTTACGAGGCAAGGTGAAGCCTGGGAGGTGAAGCCTGGGAGGTGAAGCCTGGGAGGTGAAGCCTGGGAGGTGAAGCCTGGGAGGTGAAGCCTGGTAGGTGAAGCCTGGTAGGTGAAGCCTGGGAGGTGAAGCCTGGGAGGTGAAGCCTGGTAGGTGAAGCCTGGTAAGTGAAGCCTGGGAGGTGAAGCCTGGGGGGTGAAGCCTGGGGGGTGAAGCCTGGGGGTGAAGCCTGGGAGGTGAAGCCTGGGAGGTGAAGCCTGGGAGGTGAAGCCTGGGAGGTGAAGCCTGGGAGGTGAAGCCTGGGGGGTGAAGCCTGGGAGGTGAAGCCTGGTAGGTGAAGCCTGGGGGGTGAAGCCTGGGGGGTGAAGCCTGGTAGGTGAAGCCTGGGAGGTGAAGCCTGGTAGGTGAAGCCTGGTAGGTGAAGCCTGGGAGGTGAAGCCTGGGAGGTGAAGCCTGGGAGGTGAAGCCTGGGGGGTGAAGCCTGGGGGGTGAAGCCTGGGAGGTGAGCTATCAGGGGGATTAAAACTGGCGCTATTTGTAGAAAATCTCCTTTACAGTGACTCTGAGTGTGTTTTGCCTCAGATATGATTGTTTATACTGTATTTTGCTTAATATATTTGGCTGCAGCAAGTGTATTTTAATGACCTGAAGTTGCCCTTCAAGCATCTGTCACCTACTACAAAACATCTAGCTCGAGGGTGAGACATAGGTTGCATAGCTGGCGATAGGAGAACATTAGCAGAACATTATGTTGACGCGTCATTGGCTGTAGGTAATTGACATCTGCTGGGTTAAGCCCGACCACCCGAGCGCATTGAAATGGTTAAACACACACACACACCCCACACACACACACCTCTCGTCATACCCACTGTCCATAACTCATCATTAAAACGCCAAAGCCAACAAAAGTGAATTGCGACGAGCGCAGAGTTTTATGGCCAAGACACTTGGTGTTTTATCCGTGTAATTAATGAATTACAGCTGGTGCTGTCAGATTTGCAATCTGCTGCAGTGAATGAGTGAGAGATTGTTTTTGCCATAGTGGAGTAGAGCCCAATCAGACAGCTTAATTGGTACATTCTCTCTGTCACCGCTTCCCCTCATCCTTGATTAGACACGCAGACAGCCTGGTCAGCACCGGCCATGATCCCCTGATTGGAACTTCAAACTTTGTGTGTCTCTGTCTCGGTGGTTGGGTGTTTGTGGGTGTGTGGTGTGTGTGGCGGGCGGAGTGAGGGAGGCTTATGGTAGGGTGTGTATGGGGAAAGGTATAGTTGGATGGGGAGTTCGATTGATGGTTGTCCGTTGGATAGTTGTTCATGTCATATGTGTGAGTAGTCTGTCATAGAATGTGTGTTTGCACATTTGCTTGTAGTGCTGTGTTGTGTTCAGCAGCACTTTGCCCTAAGTAGTTCATCTATCATTTATTGAAAATCCACAGTCCGCCTAGCAACACCACACACTCAGCCCCACAATTTTCACCATATAAGTACGATCCTGGATCATTGAAATGATCTACCCATAGCATTTCCACAGAAACTCTCAAAACACACACTCACACACTGTCACGGTTTCGGCCGAGGTGGCTCCTCCTCCTTGTTCGGGCAGGCTTCGGCGGTCGTCGTCTCCGGAGTACTAGCTGCCACCGTTCTTTGTTTTCGATGTTTGTTTGGTTTGGTCTGTTTGGTACACCTGTTCTTGTTTAGTGTTGATTATGTGTCCTATAAGTTCTCGTTGTTTCTGTCATGTGTTGTGTGTAATTGTTTTCACCTGTCTGTTGGTGCTGTTCATTTTTGGCCAGTCGTTAGTGTGTACCGTCGCACTGTTGTTTTCGTGCGCAGTCGGTTTTGGTGTTTTACGCACTGTTGCGTAGTGTTCGCCTCCGGGTTGGTTTAGACCCGTTTGTTATTTTTGTCTTTTCAAGTAAAGACTGGTTTGACTTAGCTCCTGTGTCCTGCACTTGATTCCACACCACATCCGCATCAGATACCCTGACACACACAGACATACACACAGCCATGCTGGCTCCCTGGGTTGGTGTGAGTCCACTGTCCAGACAGATGGCTGTGGAGCTTCGGTCCATAAGGAGCGAGAGAGAGAGTGGGAGGGTGGCGGAGCCCTAATGAAAGCACCGAGAGGTTTGATCCACAGTCAAGTTACTCACCAAGGACAGCTCCCACTGCCAACGTCTCACACAGGGTCTCACACACAGAGACTTCACCTTCAGAGAGTCTGGGAGAGAGATGAGCAGTGGGGGGAGGCGTTAGCCTGGGATCCAAACTGATTATTGCTCTGTTTCACCATTTTCAGCTTGGAATCCAGGCTATGGAGGAGTGTTGTCACTGGGTCGGGTGGATGCTGTGACTCCCCTTAGGGTAATGGATTAAGGGGTGAGTTTAAAACAGAAAAGTAACACTATGAAACAAAAAAAGAGAACTGCGATCTACGGGTTCTCAGGCGCTGTGTTATTACTACTACTGCTGCTATTGGTGGAGATGATGATGACGATGATGATGATGATCAGTGAGAGAACAATGCATCAATTCATCTCCTGCCTTCAGGGAACTGATGCTTATATCCAAAAGCGCATAATTCCTATAATTATTATTATTATTAGTAGTAGTAGTAGTAATAATAATAATAATAATAATAATAATAATAATAGTATTATATTCTATGCATTACTATAGTAAAAGAGGATGTGCCTTCTTTGGGCAGAAAAATGGTCCTATGTTAAATGACATTGGATACGGCGTTCCTGCCAGGCTTGGCTATGAGGGTCATTTACACTTCTCCCAGTCTACAGACATGCTATATCTAGCACTTTCCATTCAACATCTTTCTCCTCTCTGTACATGTTTCTCCTTTAATAAAGTAGGAAATACCATACATAGGGTTGCAAATGGAGGGTATATTACTGGAAAATGTCTAAGTGTATCAGTAAACTACCAGAATTTTGGTAGCTTTCAAGGTTTTTGGGGAACTTTATACAATGAAATCTAGTGGCCTTTTGGGTACTTCAGATTATCGCAGGTGTCTGTAATTAGCAACAACAAAAAATTGAATGACAAAGCTGTAAAACATTATCCTAAATATAAACCATCAACTTTGTAAATACCATTGGTGTTTAATATGAGGGTTCCAGCATGAAATATCCTTTATATTTTTTTACACACTTATATAGTTTTTACTTTTTCAATATGTATTGGTTGTAAATGTTTCGCCAACAAACTGGTGGCAATTGTGAAATAAATATAATAGTTGGAGGAGTTGCAGAGTTAATTGAAAAGAATGCCATTGTTGATTAGATTTTTTATTTATTAATTAGACTATTTTCCCTTGAACCATATCCAACTCATGGACAATATGAACACAGTTATAAACAAATTATAGTTTATATGAGTATTTTTTTCATTTTTATTCAAGTATAAATGACCTGAGTTAACATAGATGACCTGTTAATTTCAGAGTTACCATAGATGACCTGTTAATTACCAGAATTACAGAAGATTCCGGTAACTTTGGTAAATGACCAGTAGATTTATAACCCTAATCATACAGTATAGTACAGACAACTCCTCTCATCCTCTTCAAATCAGTGGTGAGCGTATAGCCTTGCAGTCTTTTCATCTACTTTAGATCAAATATACAGTATCACACATAAAAACCACTCTTCCTCTCAGCTGGAGTCCAACCGTAAGCATTTCACATCTGACTTGCACTTTTCCCTCAGTTGAGATCACAGATGTATTGAAGAACTAAATGTTTCTTTCTCGCAAGGCATTTCCGGTCCTTAGATCTCCACAGTAGATGTAGGCGAGAACCAGAGTGAAGTGAAGTTCTCACGTGAGACTGAGAGGTGGGCAAAAGTAGAATAAGATAACAAAGCGAGCGATTTGAAATGTGTTTTTCTTTCAGCAGAGACAGATTAAACCAAGTCCTGGATTAGAACACACTCATCTGAGATTCTACAGTGTGTTTAATGGACTCTGTCTGGGAAACCGTCCCCTAGAGAAACCGACCCCTAGATAAACCGACCCCTAGAGTTTTTTTCTGTCAGACGCACCACATACAAATACACCACACAGCACATTGTAGACAATCCTCCCCTAAGAATGGTTCACAACTTTCAAAATCTACCCGAAAATGCAAACAACTGAAGAGAGGGAATAAACCCGGAGACTATCAACTATCTGAGTCATTGTGAGTTAGCCTAATCATAATATAATAACAATGGCTCTGGCTGGATATTGTCCCTTGACCCCGTGGTTAAGAAGAGCAAATATGACCAGTGTGTGAAATACAGTTTCACCATACTTTGTTCAGTCACCCCAGAAAATCCAATGAATACCAAATGTCCTTCATAGGTTGCAAATTAACGTTGTGGAAGATAAGCACATTTCAATTTGAATATGGATTGGCATTTAACGTTTTTTAGGGGGAGTTTTGATCCTATTGAGGTTTTTTGCTTAGTTGATTTGTGTGTGTTGTTGGGTTGTGGGGAAGTGTGTGCATGCGTGCATTTTTGTGCGTGCGAGTATCCGTGTCGATAAAGTTTTCTCCTAATTTAAGTAAATGTGAACTCCCACCAAATGTTAATCAAGTTATGTATTTTAATCCAGAGTTATACCGCTCTCAAATAATTCATTTACAGTTATAAAGAAATCTATATACTGTACATGATAGGCAATTAAAGTGAATGGAATGCAATCACACTCAAGCTGTTCTGTAACTGTTTGCTCATGCATGCACTTTTCGACAACCACCATAATCCATTATGATAATGTCCTACAAGGCTGTGTGTCTGTCAAAACCAGGCCTCTATGACTCCCAATGTAAGCAGGATTTCTTGTTCTGTTCAGTTAATATTCAGATTATTCCATATCAGATCACTTTGCCAGATATAAAGCTGAAACAGAACCCTGCACATGCAGAGGTCTTCCAGGAGCAACCACAGTCTAGATAGCCACTAAGAGACAAAGACACCACTCTCCAGTCTCACACTGTTTGCGTACAAGCCTTCCAACATCCTCCAAGTGCCACCTACCCCTCTCTCACCCCAGAGAGGTGCACAGCATAACTCTCAACCCTCTATCACCCCAGAGAGGTGCACAGTGTTCCTCTCAACCCTCTCTCACCCCAGAGAGGTGCACAGCATTCCTCTCAACCCTCTCTCACCACAGAGAGGTGCACAGTGTTCCTCTCAACCCTCTATCACCCCAGATAGGTGCACAGTATTCCTCTCAACCCTCTCTCACCCCAGAGAGGTGCACAGATTCCTCTCTACCCTCTGGGTCATGTTTCAGGGGGTTAGCGGCAGCACGGGGGAGAGATGCTCCAGATGGGTTTCGGTGACTAATATATGCAGCATTAGTTTGTTCAGTCTCTCATTGGTTCTCTTGTTCACCTGTTCAAAGGATCTCTGCTCATGTGTTGTATTAGACTGCATGTGGATTGCTGTGGTAATAGAATTGCTTATTGCGATGCTAACTCAATTATTCTTGAGAGCCCTTATCTGTGCCGGGGTGCGAGCCGTTTTGGCGCTGGATGATCATCAGCATTCAGCAGCTTGTGAATTTGAGAACAAAGGAGGTAGCTACCCCTCGGAGGCGAGAGGGCTCACTGAGGAGTAATTGAATTGTTTGTTGTTGTTGACGTTGTTGCCGGTGCTATCGAACAAGGAGGGGAAGGCTAGCGAGGAGGAAGGCTCATATTCCATCACTCCTTCATTTTACTAGCCCGCTGAACACACACTCAGTTTTTGATGAACTCCTCAGTCATATCCCCCTCCCATGTTCTCTGGCACTCTCATTCACCCTCTCTCTCTCTCTTTCATTCACCATCCCTTTATCTCCCTTTCCCTTCCCCTCTATCCCACACTCTCTCACTCTGTCTCTCTCTGTATTTCTCTCCCTACCTCACCACCATCCCACCCTCAATCTCCCTCTCTTCCTCTCTTCCCTCTGATTTCTTGCAGACGGAGCAGTTTGTGCACGCGCTCAAAGACGAGCTGGTGAAGAGCGCCTTGCTGGCCCTCCACGCTGCACAGCCCGGCTACGTGACCAAGAGCCAGACCAGGACTCAGAACCAGAACCAGACCCTACCAGGCCACCAGGGTCACAACCACCAGGACCACCAGAGTCCCAGCCAGAGGGGTCAACAAGGCCAGAGTCCACCCCAGAACCCAGGCCACAGTCCTGGGCAGCCATCGGCTACAGACAGCCCTGTGATAGTGTGTAATAATGTGGAAGGTGGCTCTCAGACGCCTCCCATCAGAGAAGACGGGCAGACACCTCTGAACTGCCAGGACTCCATACCGTGCCATAAGGAGTACGACGAGGAGGAATGGGCAAGTCCTGCTGTTTCTATACCATCATCTGGCTCTGTGTCTGCTCTGTTTCTGTCTGTCTGTCTGTCTGTCTCACTCTCTGTCCCTCTTCTTCCCCTCTCTCTCTCTGTCTCTCTCTTTGTCTCTCTCTCTCTCTCTTTGTCTCTCTCTCTCTCTCTGTCTCTGTCTCTGTCTCTGTCTCTGTCTCTCTCTCTGTCTCTCTCTCTGTCTCTGTCGCTCTCTCTCTCTCTCTCTCTGTCTCTCTGTCTCTGTCTCTATCTGTCTCCATCTCTCTCTCTCTCTCTCTCCCCCTCTCTCTCTCTCTCTCTCTGTCTCTGTCTCTCCCTCGCCCTCTTTGCCAGTGCAAGTCTAGAAGTTGCTGTATCTCATACCTGGAGTTTCAATAGTCAGTGCAACATTTCTTGATGATCAAATATAGTATCAGTTACAGAAGTCTTAAGAAACTGTGAATATGTCAAAATATACAGTGAGGGGAAAAAAGTATTTGATCCCCTGCTGATTTTGTATGTTTGCCCACTGACACAGAAATTATCAGTCTATCATTTTAATGGTAGGTTTATTTGAACAGTGAGAGACAGAATAACAACAAAAAATCCAGAATAACGCATGTCAAAAATGTTATAAATTGATTTGCATTTTAATGAGGGAAATAAGTATTTGACCCCCTCTCAATCAGAAAGATTTCTGGCTCCCAGGTGTCTTTTATACAGGTAACGAGCTGAGATTAGGAGCACACTCTTAAAGGGAGTGCTCCTAATCTCAGCTTGTTACCTGTATAAAAGACACCTGTCCACAGAAGCAATCAATCAATCAGATTCCAAACTCTCCACCATGGCCAAGACCAAAGAGCTCTCCAAGGATGTCAGGGACAAGATTGTAGACCTACACAAGGCTGGAATGGGCTACAAGACCATCGCCAAGCAGCTTGGTGAGAAGGTGACAACAGTTGGTGCGATTATTCGCAAATGGAAGAAACACAAAATAACTGTCAATCTCCCTCGTGGAGTTGCAATGATCATGAGAACGGTGAGGAATCAGCCCAGAACTACACGGGAGGATCTTGTCAATGATCTAAAGGCAGCTGGGACCATAGTCACCAAGAAAACAATTGGTAACACACTACGCCGTGAAGGACTGAAATCCTGCAGTGCCCGCAAGGTCCCCCTGTTCAAGAAAGCACATATACAGGCCCTTCTGAAGTTTGCCAATGAACATCTGAATGATTCAGAGGAGAACTGGGTGAAAGTGTTGTGGTCAGATGAGAGCTCTTTGGCATCAACTCAACTCGCCGTGTTTGGAGGAGGAGGAATGCTGCCTATGACCCCAAGAACACCATCCCCACCGTCAAACATGGAGGTGGAAACATTATGCTTTGGGGGTGTTTTTCTGCTAAGGGGACAGGACAACTTCACCGCATCAAAGGGACGATGGACAGGGCCATGTACCGTCAAATCTTGGGTGAGAACCTCCTTCCCTCAGCCAGGGCATTGAAAATGGGTCATGGATGGGTATTCCAGCATGACAATGACCCAAAACACACGGCCAAGGCAACAAAGGAGTGGCTCAAGAAGAAGCACATTAAGGTCCTGGAGTGGCCTAGCCAGTATCCAGACCTTGATCCCATAGAAAATCTGTGGAGGGAGCTGAAGGTTCGAGTTGCCAAATGTCAGCCTCGAAACCTTAATGACTTGGAGAAGATCTGCAAAGAGGAGTGGGACAAAATCCCTCCTGAGATGTGTGCAAACCTGGTGGCCAACTACAAGAAACGTCTGACCTCTGTGATTGCCAACAAGGGTTTTGCCACCAAGTACTAAGTCATGTTTTGCAGAGGGGTCAAATACTTATTTCCCTCATTATAATGCAAATCAATTTATAACATTTTTGACATGCTTTTTTTTGGATTTTTTTGTTGTTATTCTGTCTCTCACTGTTCAAATAAACCTACCATTAAAATTATATACTGATCATTTCTTTGTCAGTGGGCAAACTTACAAAATCAGCAGGGGATCAAATACTTTTTTTCCTCACTGTATTAAGGGTCTGGTATCTAGGAACCCCTGTGTGTGTGTGTGTGTGTGTGTGTGTGTGTGTGTGTGTGTGTGTGTGTGTGTGTGTGTGTGTGTGTGTGTGTGTGTGTGTGTGTGCTAATAGAAACGATGGGCCCTCAGTCCAATAAAGCCTTAGCTAACAGCAGGGACTTAGCCACAGTCACACACTACAATTCCTAATCAGCCATCAAAAAACTGTCTGCCTTTGAGAGGAGTTCAAACACACTCACCTCTTAAACAAAGGACGTCCAAACTTCATTCCAACACACACACATGCTTGGCAAGCCTAATTACTTTCCTCAACTGACAGAAAGTGAATAAATCAATTAAAAAAGGAGGACATTATGAGGACAATATGAAACAGCAGAGTTTGGAGGCTTTCCGCGCCATAGTAGAAAAGCACTTTGAGAGTAATCTCTTCAAGCAGGCTGCAATTGCCATCGGACAACATACTGTGACCTCTCGGATGGCGTTTTTTGAGAGTAGAGGAAATCTTCAGAATTTTTGGAGTTCTTCTGTGACCGATTGATTTTGAGACAATGAAAGTTAAAGGCTAGTAGAATTCTGGTGATAAGGGCTTTGAACAGCCAACATCCAATCATACTCAAACCCACTGTAGTGGCCCAAGGCAGGTTATCGACTCAGAGATATATTATATATATATATATATATATATATATATATATATATATATATATATATATATATATATATTATATATAGATCCATATTTAAAATGGTTGATATTATTTATTAGATTCTATTTTTTGGGATCAATAGTACCTTGAACATTGTGGTTCACCAACAGATAGGTGTGGAACATGGATTGATCTTCCAGACATATCACATGCAGATTGACATCTATCTCACTTTATTTTATCCTTTACGCTCTCTCTCTCTCTCTCTCTCTCTCTCTTTCTTTCTCTCTCTCTCTCCTCTCTCTCTCTTTCTCTCTCTCTCTCTCTCTCTCTCTCTCTCTCCCTCTCTCTCTCTTTCTTTCTTTCTCTCTCTCTCTTATCTCTTTTAGTTATCACTCACACACACACACATGCCGTGACCTCACTCTCCGAGTGTGTCTCAAGAGGAGTTGGGATATGCAAAAAATAAATTTCCATTTCACACCTCATATTCGTACAGGTTACCCACTTGTACATGCAGTGAAACAGGACAAATATAATCATCCCCTATTTGACCTTTGACACACACCACACACACACACACCACACACACACACACACACACACACACACACAGGCCAGGTGCTGACGTTGTGTTTGTCTCCTCTAGGACAGGGTGTGGGCGAACGTGGCGAAGAGCCTCAACTGTGTCATCGCCATGGTGGACAAGATCCAGGAGCAGGAACCAATCAACAACAACCAGGAACAACCAATCCCTGAGCAGGTCCTGGCTGATGTCATCACCTCCCACAACCCTGGTAATAGTTTCACCGCTGAATGTGTCGTATCAAAGAGTGACTCTAACAAGAGTAACAGTTAACAGAAAAACCCTTCTCTACATCCATAACAATGCCCTCCCTATACATAGACGTAGCCTAGTCCCAGATCTGTCTGTGTTGTCTTGCCAAGTTGATTCCCAATATCACCTACATACAGTTATGTATTCCTGCAATACTAACCAGAGATGGTCCCCTGTAGCTCAGTTGGTAGAGCATGGCGCTTGCAACGCCAGGGTTGTGGGTTCGTTTCCCACGGGGGGCCAGTATGAAAATGTATGCACTCACTAACTGTAAGTCGCTCTGGATAAGAGCGTCTGCTAAATGGCTACAATGTGAATGTAAAATGTTGAGTCCTGGACATCCAGTTTCTGCATGGTACAAGCTCTAGTCATGTCTAAACTCCTTCTCACCATAAGATGGCAGTCACGTACCACGTTAGCCAGTTGCAGTATTTGGGTCTGCACAAAGGCTGAACACGCTCAGACTCTCAGAAATGACCGAATGAAGCACAGGAGGTTGATGGCACCTTAATTGGGGAGGACGGGTTTGTGGTAATGGCTGGAGCGGAATCCGTGGAATGGTATCAAATACATCAAACGCATGGTTTGATGCCATTCCATTCGCTCCGTTCCAGCCATTATTATGAGCCGTCCTCCCCTCAGCAGCCTCCACTGGAATGACGGTAAGAAGGAAAGATAGGCAGGAGCCATTTTTATTAAGGTGGAGAACAGGCACAGGGAGGGGTCATCCTCAACTGTCTGAAGACAAAGGGTGGAATAATAAGAATTTTATCTCTGTGATTGGTCCAGCCCACGCTTCCGTTGACAAGGCATTGTGGGAGTTTGTCTGTTTGGACAGGTGGGAAGAAGAAAGGTTGACAGTTGGTGAGTTTCTCTTCCTTTTTCAATGTGTGTAGTGTAAACTCTATTTGCAAGGCGAGATAAGGCATGATTTATTTGGCAAGGGGAAGCCAGATGTTGAGTGCTAAGCTTTTTTTAATGTGCTTTGGGTAGGTGTGGGGGCGGAGGAGGAGGAGGAGGAGGAGTTGTTTTTCGTTTGTGAGTGAAAGAGAGGGAGAGAAAGGGAGCAAGAGAGGTGAGGGGAAGTGTGGGATTGAATAGATTTACTGAGCTTTTCCTGACTTTTGTTGGCATAAGCAGTCAGTGGGAAAAAAACGCAATTACAAGTTTTTCAACAATGGTGTTCATCACAGCATTGGAGCCATGCAGAATACATAGGCAAACGAGTTCCTTTTAAACCTTTTCCCATGTACAACACTGCCCCCTATTGACCTTTACATCACATTGCAGGACCTGCTGTAGTTCTCTGACGTTTATAGTGAGGATTCTTTATCATTCACAATATACCTCTGCATGTTCCCCATTCAGAGGACAAGAGTTTCCCCCATTGGAAATTAATAGAACATTGGTTCAATAGAGACACACTGCAGTGCACACTGCACACTCACATCAACACCATTATCCCAGAAACCCTAGACCCACTCCAATTTGCATACCGCCACAACAGATCCACAGATGATGCAATCTCTATTGCACTCCACACAGCCCTTTCCCACCTGGACAAGAGGAACACCTACGTGAGAATGCTATTCATTGACTACAGCTCAGTGTTCAACACCATAGTGCCCTCAAAGCTCATCACTAAGCTAAGGACCCTGGGACTAAACACCTCCCTCTGCAACTGGATCCTGGACTTCCTGACGGGCCGCCCCCAGGTGGTAAGGGTAGGTAACAACACATCTGCCACGCTGATCCTCAACACGGGGGCACCTCAGGGGTGCGTGATCAGTCCCCTCTTGTACTCCCAATTCACCAACGACTGCATGGCCAGGCACGACTCCAACACCATCATGAAGTTTGCAGACGACACAACAGTGGTAGGCCTGATCACCGACAACGATGAGACAGCCTATAGGGAGGAGGTCAGAGACCTGGCCGTGTGGTGCCAGGATAACAACCTCTCCCTCAACGTGATCAAGACAAAGGAGATGATTGTGGACTACAGGGAAAAAAAGAGGACTGAGCACGCCCCCATTCTCATCGGCGGGGCTGTAGTGGAACAGGTTGAGAGCTTGAAGTTCCTTGGTGTCCACATCACCAACAAACTATCATGGTCCAAACACACCAAGACAGTCGTGAAGAGGGCACAACAAAGCCTATTCCCCCTCAGAAGACTGAAAAGATTTGGCATGGGTCCTCAGATCCTCAAAAAGTTATACAGCTGCACCATCGAGAGCATCCTGACTGGTTGCATCACCGCCTGGTATGGCAACTGCTCGGCCTGCTCGGCCTACAGAGGGTAGTGCGTACGGCCCAGTACATCACTGGGGCCAAGCTTCCTGCCATCCAGGACCTCTATACCAGGCGGTGTCAGAGGAAGGCCCTCTAAATTGTCAAAGACTCCAGCCACCCTAGTCATATACAGTGGGGAAAAAATGTATTTAGTCAGCCACCAATTGTGCAAGTTCTCCCACTTAAAAAGATGAGAGAGGCCTGTAATTTTCATCATAGGTACACGTCAACTATGACAGACAAAATGAGAAAAAAAAATCCAGAAAATCACATTGTAGGATTTTTTATGAATTTATTTGCAAATTATGGTGGAAAATAAGTATTTGGTCAATAACAAAAGTTTCTCAATACTGTTATATACCCTTTGTTGGCAATGACACAGGTCAAATGTTTTCTGTAAGTCTTCACAAGGTTTTCACACACTGTTGCTGGTATTTTGGCCCATTCCTCCATGCAGATCTCCTCTAGAGCAGTGATGTTTTGGGGCTGTCGCTGGGCAACACAGACTTTCAACTCCCTCCAAAGATTTTCTATGGGGTTGAGATCTGGAGACTGGCTAGGCCACTCCAGGACCTTGAAATGCTTCTTACGAAGCCACTCCTTCGTTGCCCGGGCGGTGTGTTTGGGATCATTGTCATGCTGAAAGACCCAGCCACGTTTCATCTTCAATGCCCTTACTGATGGAAGGAGGTTTTCACTCAAAATCTCATGATACATGGCCCCATTCATTCTTTCCTTTACACGGATCAGTCGTCCTGGTCTCTTTGCAGAAAAACAGCCCCAAAGCATGATGTTTCCACCCCCATGCTTCACAGTAGGTATGGTGTTCTTTGGATGCAACTCAGCATTCTTTGTCCTCCAAACACCACGAGTTGAGTTTTTACCAAAAAGTTCTATTTTGGTTTCATCTGACCATATGACATTCTCCCAATCCTCTTCTGGATCATCCAAATGCACTCTAGCAAACTTCAGACGGGCCTGGACATGTACTGGCTTAAGCAGGGGGACACGTCTGGCACTGCAGGATTTAAGTCCCTGGCGGCGTAGTGTGTTACTGATGGTAGGCTTTGTTACTTTGGTCCCAGCTCTCTGCAGGTCATTCACTAGGTCCCCCCGTGTGGTTCTGGGATTTTTGCTCACCGTTCTTGTGATCATTTTGACCCCACGGGGTGAGATCTTGCGTGGAGCCCCAGATCGAGGGAGATTGTCAGTGGTCTTGTATGTCTTCCATTTCCTAATAATTGCTCCCACAGTTGATTTCTTCAAACCAAGCTGCTTACCTATTGCAGATTCAGTCTTCCCAACCTGGTGCAGGTCTACAATTTTGTTTCTGGTGTCCTTTGACAGCTCTTTGGTCTTGGCCATAGTGGAGTTTGGAGTGTGACTGTTTGAGGTTGTGGACAGGTGTCTTTTATACTGATAAAAAGTTCAAACAGGTGCCATTAATACAGGTAACGAGTGGAGACAGAGGAGCCTCTTAAAGAAGAAGTTACAGGTCTGTGAGAGCCAGAAATCTTGCTTGTTTGTAGGTGACCAAATACTTATTTTCCACCATAATTTGCAAATAAATTCATTAAAAATCCTACAATGTGATTTTCTGGATTTTTTTTCTCAATTTGTCTGTCATAGTTGACATGTACCTATGATGAAAATTACAGGCCTCTCTCATCTTTTTAAGTGGGAGAACTTGCACAATTGGTGGCTGACTAAATACTTTTTTTCCCCCCACTATACTGTTCTCTCTGCTGCCGCATGGCAAGCGGTACCGGAGCGCCAAGTCTAGGTCCAAAAGGCTTTTTAACAGCTTCTACCCCCAAGCCATAAGACTCCTGAACAGCTCATCATAGCTACCCGGACTATCCACCCCCTCTTTTATGCTGCTGCTACTCTCTGTTTATTATCTATGCATAGTCACTTTAACTCTACCCACATGTACATATTACCTCAATTACCTCGACTAACCTGTGCCCCCGCACATTGACTCTGTACCGGTACCCCCCTGTATATAGCCTCCCTACTGTTATTTTATTTTACTGCTGCTCTTAAGTTATTTTATATTTTAATTTTTTTACTAACACTTTTTTTCCTTAAAACTGCAATGTTGGTTAAGGTCTTGTAAGTAAGTGTTTCACTGTATTCGGCGCATGTGGCAAATAAGATTTGATTTGACAAAGATTAATCATCTGGGTTGAATCCATTTTTAGACCGCAGGTATTTTTTTAAACCAACTTGTTCTCTTCATTTGTTGAATAGACATTCTGTTAGTGATTCCATTGCTTGCCAGCACAACATGTTCAGATCAAAGTCTTTCTGTTTCCATGGTATAAAAGTTTCTCAACTTCATGTGTTTTCTCTTCCTGGCATAGCCACGGGAATACTTGCTTGATACATGTTTTCCAGTTTCTTGAAATACTTTGCAACTTATTTCTATGTGAAAACTGAAATGGTCTATTCATTCCTTTTCATTAGGCGCTCTTATCAAGAACAACTTACAGTTGTGAGTGCATACAGTTTTGTACTGCTCCCGCATTGGGAATCGAACCCACAACCCTAACATTGTAAGCACCATGCTCGACCAACTGAGCCACAACATCACATCATATCATCACAAACCACTTTCTTCATGGGTGATGGAAAGGCTACAGGTACAAACCTAGATACAGTAATGTACATATACATTAAGTGGTTTGTAAGGATGGTAAATTAATACTCCACAAAAAGTGGTTGTT